AAAAACAAAATTTAGTTAATCCACCCTTGGATGAATAATATATTATTGACATGCTGTAAATTGACAATGTAGTATGCTCTGCCTGATATGAGTGCTTCGAAGTGCACGCTTCTAACTTTCAGCCATGGTGACTTCCTCATTGACCGATACACCATTACATCGGACTTGTGACTCACTCTCACTCCCGATATGCAATTACAACTAAAATAGAACCAAAAACAGATCATGTATCACTCTCTTTAGATATTTTTGACACACGACTGGTAACAAAGCATCCTGAGCCAAATTCATCGCCCGCGCATTCAAGTTTCGCCGGCTGTGACGCCAGAGCGAATCACCAGTGTTTGTCCCCCCTAATGCCTTAAATGTTATCTATTCCATGTAAGGTATACACAGACATCCTAAATATGAGGATTCAATCGTGGTTAGAAGATAATAATACATTAGTAGAAGAGCAGAATGGATTCAGACAGAATCGCAGTTGCATAGGTCATGTTTATGCACTTTACAACATCATCAATGTGAGAAAGTCCACTAAAAAGTCAACATTTGTGTGTTTTGTTGACATAAAGAAGGCATTTGACTCTGTTGACAGGCAATGCTTATGGTTCAAGCTTATGAAGTGTGGTATAAAAGGAAAAATTCTTCAATGCATACAGTCACTCTACAACAATGTGCAATGCACAGTTAAATTAAATGACTTGTATACAGATCCATTTGATGTGAATTATGGTGTTAAACAAGGCTGTAAATTATCCCCAACTTTATTTTCTATTTACATCAATGATCTTGCTGAGGAATTGAAAGGTTTACAATGTGGAATTGAAATAGAGAACTATATGTTATCTGTTCTCCTATATGCGGATGACCTAGCATTAATCGCCCCGGATGAAGATTCTCTACAGAAAATGCTATGTATACTCAGTGAATGGTGCAGAAAGTGGAGGTTAGAAATAAACTGTGAGAAAACACAAGTTGTGCATTTCAGACCCAAGTCTACAATCATTTCAGATTACCAGTTTAAATGTGGCTTAAATGTTGTACCATATACAGAGAGCTATAGATACCCTGGCATCTGGTTGAATCAACATATGGACATGCATAAGACTGTAAAAGAACTTAAATCTGCCAGTAGAGCACAATCTGCATTGTACACTAAATTTAGAAGTTGTGGTGGGATGTCCTATGAAGTGTATACCAAGTTGTACAATACCCTTATCAAGCCTGTTTTGTTCTATGAACTGGTATATGGGGGATTAACAAATACAGGGAGGTGCAAGTCATCCAAAACAAAGCTTGTAGATTGTTTCTAGGAACCGGTCAAAATGCATCTAACTTGGCGATTCGCAGCGATATGGGATGGTCATCAAGTGATGTGGATCAATAGATAGAATTATTTAGACAATTCTTCAGATGTGAATCAATGCCAGATAGCAGAATTCCAAATATTATTCATAAGTGGGCAATGTATCAAAGTAAATCTCTTGATAAAAGAACTGAAATGCTGATACGAGACTTAAATGTGGATGGGATTATCAGTGACAGTGACAATAACAAGAAAAAAGTGAACTTACTTAAGGATATCTTGAAAGAGAAAGATAGTGAATCATGGTGTAAACAAGTGTGGGATGATGAGAACAAACCAAATGGTAACAAGCTAAGGACTTTCAGACTTTTCAAATTTGATGTGAATGTGAGCCACTATGTGAAATGTGTGAAGCGAAGGGATTATCGAAGTGTTTTATCTAAGTTTAGGTGTGGTAACCTCCCTCTATTAGTCGAAACAGGCCGCTATTCCAAGCCACCTATTCCTTTAAATGATAGAATATGTAAATTTTGTGCAGAAAAAAATAATTATGTTATTGAGGATGAATCACACTTTTTAATAGATTGTTTTGTATACAGTGACCTGAGATATCAACTACTACACAAGGCAGCTGAATTAAACCAAGACTTTTATTATTTTAATAGCATTCAGCAATTATCTTATTTGATGCAAGAGGTGATTTTACAGCCGCTTTTAGCAAACACATTATACAGCATGTATAGAAGGAGAGTGCATCTCTTCTAGTCTTAACATTGCATATAATATTTTTATTTTGTGTTTTATATTTAATAATGTTATATGTTTTAAATGCTTTTAGAGTGTCTCATAAGCCCTAGAGGCTGGATATTGTACTTTTAATGGCAACTTGCTTTTGTTTAAAATGTGTTTTATGTACAATATGTGACACTTAAATAAACATTTTTTCTTCTTCTTCCTAAAACGAGGACGGCAGTTTGTGGGCGGGGCTTATCGGTCGGGACTGGATCGGTCTATTGATAGTTTAGCGTGTATCTTAATTGGACAGGACACGCATCTGTTTGGCATCAACATACGTAATGAAATACCCAAAAGAATATTTCAAAACAACCAAAATTATATTCAATATTGGACATATATTTGTTCATTACTATGTTATTATTTCTCTTCATCTCGTCTCAGAATTACACAATAAAAGATGCAATGAAAGCTCTGGAGAAATGAAGTAAACAGTTTAATATCTTGTGATCACAATATTGAAAAAAGAATGAACCCATTGATTATATATTGCAAAACGAGAGGAATAATTCGTAAATAGTTTGTGACTAACGCGCACCTGGCGAATCGTTAGATATCACTGTTCTGTGTATCAAACGACATGAAAAACAATTCCAAGACCAAGACAATTCTTTCAGAAATGTGTGCATATATTTTAACGAAAAATATTATTGATTTTGGTAAGGTAATAAATTCAGTTTTAGTTATAAAATGAAATGAAACGGCTGTTCATGGACATTGGTTGTATCAACTTATAATATTGACTATTACGCATCCCAAGAAATACGTACATGCGGCAGTTAAATTTCACTTCATCTTGTCCAAAGGAATAGACTAGAAAGAAATATCGTATTCGACATTAAAAACCTATCAATAGTTATGTAAATAATGTTCAAACAAACAGGAGATTATCAAAGGTTCGTCCATACATGTTGTGGCCTATATTTACGTATGAGACAAATATCCAAAGTGAAATTAATTGTGTGAACAAATGTATAAAAGATATGCAAAATCTACATCATAACTGAAGCAGTACGCGAGATTTTACGAGGGGGCTTTCGTTGATTCAGGGATCGTACATACATAAATGTGACATGTAAGTAATCAGAAACGTTCTGACAATCTATGTACTATTATTTGTTGTTATAATTTTCATTGAAACAAACCGAAATAGTCAGAAGTTCCGATAAATACCGGTGTCGTTGTGCGTGATTTTGCGTCAGTTATGGCGTCACACAGGACGGTAACTTTGACAATTTCTGTTGTAAATATCAAATCATTGCAATGTATCTATTTTAAATTCCCTAATTCTTCCAACGATTCTGACCGCCTCCGTGGTCTAATGGTAGAGCGTCCGCCCGGAGAGCGGAAGGTCCGGGTTTCGATCCCCGGCCGCGTCATACCAAAAGACGTTAAAAGATGGTACTTGTTATTACCCTGCCTGGCGCGCGGCATTAAGGGGCTAAAACAAGGACTGGTCGGCTCGGAGTCAGTATACTGTGTCTGAGTGGGGTATTCATGTTAAACTGTGGCATGGTATCTCAGTGTGCTAGCACTATAAATCGGCATCAGCCCGGACCAGTACAAGCAGCCACACACACACATATAAGTGCAATAATCTTGGACGCGACGTTAAACCCCATTTCACATCACCTCACCAACGATTCCAACGATTCTCTGCCGATGCATATTCTGAAAATGTTGAGCCAATATCTTGAACGAATAGAGTGAGTGAATGAGTGAGTATGGTTTTACGCCGCTTTTAGCAATATTCCAGCAATATCACGGCGGGGGACACCAGAAATGGGCTTCACACATTGTACCCATGTCGGGAATCGAACCCGGGTCTTCGGCGTGACGAGCGAACGCTTTAACCACTAGGCTACCCGACCGCCCCTGAAAGAATAGATGAATGGATAGCTCAAAATAGGAGAAAATGCTACACTGTGTAAAATCTGTATTTTGCTTTGTTTACATTTCAAACAAATGCAGTTTTTCGAGCACAGCGTTCGTTTTCACACCTAACTTTGATTTCATCCAGCCACTTTGTACTGGTGACAAAGACCATTGGTCATTTGATTCTAAAATGTATGAGGAATTCAAGGATGTGTGTATCGCATCTAAGTTTGAAAAATACGTGATGTTACAGGCGCCTCATAACCGGTGTACCTGAAACGTGATTTTGTAAACACTAACCAATATGGCAGAAAGTTCACTTCGGCGTTGGTGTTTGCGTATTTTCCAAAGCATACTAAACGATTCTAGGGTTATCGGAGAATGGAATGAACATTGGTGATTTCTTAAAAGACAGATACCCGTGATCACTAATATGCTTTTTTGAAATTCATTTCTCCCAGTAAATATCCGATATTTAGATTTAAAAACATGCTGTAAATAACGCCGTTAGTGGTGATTTTGTAATGTAAAAAATGGCGATATTTACGATGTACCTAATTTTCAGAGGTCATTTTCAGTACTTTTGCTTGGCCTAAAATGTCAGTGGATGATATATCAGAACAGTGAATTCCCCACATTATTCAAAACTGTGAAGTGTATTTGTGTGGATGATGTATTTTGAATTTTATTCGACTGCAAAGTGATATATGTTCCTGTGGCATCCATGGGGTTAAATAATATATATATAGAATACTAAACTCGCTCCCGTGTAATACCAATTTTATGTCTGGTGTCCCCCGCCGTGATATTGCTGGAATATTGCTAGAATCGGCGTAAAATCATACTCAATAACTCACTCTATGGCCTGATGTTGTATGTATTTAATGCAAGTGTTTTATGTCTAATGTGTACGCATACAACATGTGACACATAAATAAAATATATTCTTCTTTTTTTCTTCTCACGGGTTACAAATTTTTTAGCAGTCGCTTTTTATAAGAAATATGTTTAACAACATGCTTACCTTCTCTGAGTATTCCACCAGCTGGGGTTGTCATAACATTCCGAAATAGCAAGTTCTGTCACGGCATTCCGAAACAACAGCTAGCTACACATCTGTTCTGTCATAACTGCGACGCATAATACACCAACATACGCTGTGAACGCGCTCTTGACATTAGTAATTTGACCCCGTAGTCCCAATCATTTGAATGATAGCATTGCATGACAGCGTGGAAACACAACACTACGGCATGTCGTCTTTTGTTTCCTGCTGCAAGTAACAAAGGCCGCGAGTTTTATCAAATCTTGACTCGCTAGTAGTTTAGATATGATTTATTGTTCGAATACAAATGCCTACAATAGATTGTATGAGGCTTGCAAAGACTTCATAACTGTTTACGTTAATGTGGTATAAACGTACACAACCAGTGCGTATACTTTAAAACATTTTAAGTCCATTCTTATAACTAAACACGTCAATAATAACTTCCAAGGCTGCTTATTTATTAATCATTAACACGCACAAACAAACAACAATACGAAATCAGCGACTTCGTTCACCACAAAAGTGTAACTCAACCCCCACTTGTTATATTATCAGCCAATCAGATCAGAGGTCCGTCGGGTGAAGGGACTACTGGTAGTCCAGGATACGTTGAACCAACTCACAAAACGCATTTGAGACAAGTATGCGGTGCACAGAATCTGGGCAAAATATTTGTTTTGTTTACAGGTAGAGAGGGCGTACGTATGTTGTGCACGTGCAGGTCATGACGATGAAATTGACACAGCTCTCGCTGACACATCACATCAGCACGTACCATTATAAGCTACAGAACTCGTTGTCAGCCGAGACAGGACACGCACATATCCAGCCGGGGGTAGAATAGCTCTTCAGGAACCAATGCTCGTCGTAAAAGGCGACTAACGGGAACGGGTGGTCAGGATCGCTGACTTGGTTGATTCATGTCATCGAACCCAAATGCGCGGATCGATGCTCACGATATCGATCAGTGGATTGGCTGGTCCAGACTCGATTATTTACAGACCGCAGTAATATAACTGGAATATTGCTGAGTGCGGCGTAAAACAACAACCAACCCACCCGCGGACCACCAACAACCCCTTTCTTTAGAATGGTATGCGCCAGTGGGTGGACCTCATATCTAGTTATACGGGATTAATTAACAGGTCACAAATCAGCTTATCCTGGTGTAGCAGTAATTACTTGCGGTTAATAATACCATGAACACTGTTTCTGCGATTGTGAAACCGGTGTCCCACGCGTATCAGGGAAACAAACATGTGGCAGGTGTTTGTAATATAATCGGAGGTAGCAACAAGTGCAGTTGCTGCAGTGTGCGAGCTTAGCCTCAATTTTGTAATTGATATCTTTTCCCGTAAAAACCAAGCCTCGTTCTCAAGTGCGACCTACAAACAGTAAATACAATTTGCTAGCAGATGACATATTCACTCTATAGTCTCTGTCAACTGGAGTTTTTAAACAGAGGTTTCTACTGAAACAACTTTTTTGTACTTTTATTAGCTTTCCATGTTACAAAATATATTCACTGGATATTAATGCTTTTCACCTGGATAATAAGGTTTATTCATTTCATGATGAGGATCATCTTTTTTTAAATTGTCCCAACTGTATGCATACCTGACAAGGACGACATTGGCTACCATTATGTTACGATGTCTTACATTTTTCTCAGGTGGAATGCCATTATTTTTTCTTTTGTTTCTATTTTTTCTGACTTGTTGGATGGCATAAATGCACATATATTCACAAGATGCAAAATTCTACTAGCGTTTAAACTTCTATATAATATTAATGCATACACAAGCCTTATTGGTATAAATGTACTCTTGATATTTTCCACTTGAAAATTCATTAGTTATTGAGGTGCCAGAATTCCAATATGTTCATACCTTTCTTGACAAATCTCCAGTGGTGTCACTTGGAAGTCGCATCATGATAAATAGTTAGTAAGAGACTGGTATTCCAAGTGAGTTCCAAGAAAATAACAGTTGAAACACACAATTTAGCCAAGGTATAATCCAAAAGTAATCGTCCACCACAACAGTAAAAGAAGTATACTGCTACAGCAGACGATAGGTTTGAGCCAATCATTTTACTGATAGAGGTCACGTGACTAAAATCTTGACAACTTCCGGTGGTGTGAAGGGTTACTTTCCCTAATTAAAACTAACAAACCAATACATATTTGAGATTTAAGTTCTGATTTATTTAAGCGCAAATGTCTGTTCAGTGTGATAACACTGACAAACTATGTCCAGACAGCTTAAGACAGAAAGAACCAAATGTCAAACACCACAACCTGTAAACCATCAGTTTAGACCCCTGACACACAAATTAGTCCCTCAATGACATATCAGTCAACTCAAATTTAAACAAACGGTGTTAAACTGCCCTAAAGTAACATATCTGTCACTAGAATGTGATGCTATCAGTAAGATGCCAGATTTATTTATGTTTCTGGCCGCTCTGTGTGGGACTTCTTGGTCACTTCGAGGGGGAAACTGGGGACTGTCTTTTATCCAATTAAAAACATGTTTACATTTGTAGCTCCTCCTGTTTTAAGTTGGATATAGTAAGCTTAGTGATCAGTGATTGCAGGAAACATAGGAATTGGCCCCTCCTCCCTTTAAGATAGATGGAACCCATATTTTTGTGAATGACTTCTACCCTGTGAGAGAATATTTTGAGGTCACGTGACTTCAATAAACATGTTCTCACAGCCTCTACAGTGCATGGATGGGTTATATTTAGGTATTATTTTGGTAAATTGACATATGTGGAAATGGGAAATATATGAAAACATTACATGTACATATAGGATTTGTAATAAAAGGTTTATATGAGGTAGGTGTAGAGCCCAGGATTTTTCACTTCCTGTGACAGGGGCTGTGACGTCACTATGGGGCCTTTAGCATTGAATCTATTTATAACCTGTGTGAAAGCGAGGCTTGGTTTTCATCTATAAGCGGTAACATAGCCTGAGCTCGCACACTGCTGTATCTTTGGCTGATGTATATAACGCGTATTTGTTCATGCCTACCTTTTAGATTGATATTGTTGATTAATTGGGTAATAATATTATTAGATCCTGAAAACAAAGCAAAGCGCTTTCCTTGTCCAATATGTTTGACGCGATTTTGATATAAAAATGTTCAAGATGAAATTCATTGAATGTGATTTAAAAAAGGGACGATTTCTAAAAAAAAAATTGCGTTGTATCCTCTATATCGCCAGGGCTCGCCAGGCAAACCTACTATTACCACTGGATCCATTCCCGTGATTCTCAAATTACTCGCTATGTATAGTGTTCGGATATCAGCATATATAATCTGATACAAAGAAAAGCGTTACTGTATGTGAGTGGCGGGGGGGGCTGTGTGTTACTCTGTGTGACGGGCAGGCTGTTTTTGAGTGTGTATGTGTGTGTGTGTGTGTGTGTGTGTGGATGGGTGGAGTGTTACTATGTGGGTGGGGTTGTACTTGGTGTGTGTGCGTGCGTGCGTGCGTGCGTGCGTGCGTGCGTGTGTGTGTGTGTTTACTGCTAATTCAGATGTCAAGCGTTCCCGTTGTATGAAAACTGCGAGATCTTTCATTTGCGTGTTAGTCACTCTTTAATTCAAAGTGAAAGACATTTTAACTGAAACTCTGTTGCTACCATGTTAAAACATTTGTTGTTTCTCGAGACTTTTTGTACGATGGGCACAATTGAAAATAGTTAAGGGTCTATCGCAGTAATCAGATATCTTACATAGTCTGCTTCTGCTTCCTTCTGCGTGAACAGAGAGTAACAGAATCACACAATGTCACGTGCCGAAACTAATGGCGAGAACGTGTAACCCACAACGCACGGAGACGGTCACTGCTGTCAAGCGTCGTGATATATTGATTATTTCAAATGCTCTTATCATATTTCCTAAAACAAGCTATTCAAAGTCAAATACAATGGCTTATGGTAGGAAACTACTTTATATTACCTGATTCAACTTGTCATGCAACAAGCTTTCTGTCTTAAGCTGTCTGGACATAGTTTGTCAGTGTTATCACACTGAACAGTCATTTGCGCTTAAATAAATCAGAACTTAAATCTCGAAGTATTGCAGGCAGGCTCGAAAGTGTAATTGTCATGTGAAATATGTAATCTCTGTTTCCTCCTCTGTGTTGATCATCCGGGTTAGAACTGATCTTTAGCAACCATTCGTGTCCCCCCTCTATATACATTTAGACACTTTGCGTGTATGACATAATATATCCGTAAAGAAAAAAAAATCACACCCCTCTATATACATTTAGACACTTGTCATACACGCGATCATCGAGTTCCTGTGCATTAAGCTGACAAGCCGTGATATAACTGGAATACTGTTAAAAGCGGCGTGAAACACAACTAATACACTTTAACGCTGCTTCATCAGTAATACAGCAAGACAATATCTCCTCCGAGAAGGGGGCACGGGTGGCCAAGTCGTCTAAGGCGCCGCAATTCGCTGTGCACATGCCGAGACCTATGATTGTGGGTTCGAATCCCGGTTCGCCCCAATTATGTTTCTAGGTTTGTCAGCACAAAACCCGTGCTCGTGGGTTTCACCGAAGTGGTGAACGTCTAGGACCTGCATCACAACGGGCTTTCCTCCCACATCAAGCTGATACGACGTGATATAACTGGAATACTGTTAAAAGCGGCACCATCCTTGCCAATCCATGTGGTTTGACGTAATGAACTGCACTTTGACGATTTAAAACACTTAGCTCCTGCTTTCTAACCGCAAAATCGTAGTGATACATTATAATTATTAAAATGTTCATTTTTCAAAATTCATAATACATTATAATAAATTTCATCTCAAATGTTCAATTCACTCCTTATCCCAGCCTGAGGAGAAATCTTAGCTCGTTCTGCCTGTTCCACCTTCCTGACTACCTCCACAAATCGGTAGATGTCGGGATGTCGGTGAGGGAGACCTCGGTTGAGTCGGTTATGAAAGCCTTCCAGGTTGTTGTTCGTCCTGGGACCTGTTGTACCGTGATGGTTCCACAGTGGTAGGGGGAATCGTGTTCCGTGGTCGACCCAGGTAGAGACGATGTAGTCGTTGAAGGCGACAGCTCTTGGTACATCTGGTGTGTTGTCCATTGCGTCAACCCACGTGTCCTGGATCTTGTTCTGGGGGAGTAGGGGTACGCCAGCTGCTCTTCGTATCCACTTGCAGACTTCAGGATCTTCTCGATACGCGACAGCTAGTCCCAGATCCTGGACCTTCCTCCATATCGCCTGGCAGTAATAGAAAGAAACATCCCTTCACATCGGCAGTAGGAAACACGACTTGGACAGCACGAATAGCAGCCATCTCAAAGTCTCTCTGGATGCTTGACGGGGCAAGTGGTCTGTTTAGTCTCTGTTGAACTTCATCCTTGAGTAGCCTGAAGAGTCTTGAGTAGGTGTCTGTCTGACGGTCGGGGAGTAAGGCGAAGATGAGGGGATAGGTCTCCGAGTCTTGCATGGATGATGTACACTTGATTCCACAGTCCAGGGCAGGTAGTGAACGTTCCATCCATGTATAGAATCTCAGATGACTGCAAGGCCTCGAGACTCTCTAGACTGCCAAACGCCAGAAATATTGTCATCATCACCGTCAGCAAACAGGAGGAAGGGTCGTCCATCTTCTGGCTACGTCAAGGAATCCTGAAGATCCACCTCCGATCTTGTCTGTGGCACAACAGGAATCGTCTTCTGTCTGTGCCGGTGTCCCGGTATAAACTCTCCCCCGTACAAATTCTCCCCCCGGAGATTTTATACCGGTACAGATTCTCCCCCGGAGAATCTGTTCTGAAATAAAATCTCCCCCGGGCGGATATGTTTCGCGCCCCCCTCAGTATAAAGTCTCCCCCCTGATTATTCGGTTTGTTGCAATGTCTTTAAGTACTATATTCTTTAAGTAGTTATCTTTAATGTAAGGAGGGTTACTTTAAAAAATAGATTATGAAATATGGTCATAATGAATTGATATTTCAGCATATTTTATTTGGTAACTGTACCTTCCATCCTAAAATAATTATAAGACATAATCATACCAAACAAATTTGAATGAAATGACTTAATGTAACAAAAACATGTACGGTTACTGTTGTAACAGAATTCAGAAATCTTATTTATCCTCGCAAACATTCGGTTTTAACACTAACTACGTAAAAACTGTCAATATATCCACGCGCGCCTCCAGGTCAGGCTGTCCGTTATACTCGGATTTTTTTTATCTAAAATATATTCCTTAATACAGGCTACGATATGAAAAGGGTATCAGTGTAATATCAGTGGCTAGAATATCATGGTGCAAGCAGGTTTCGGTTAAACATACAACATCATAAATATCTAATTCAGCACTGATAAAATCTACTTTATATAATATATAATCTTTAAATCTGGACTATGCAAAGGTCCTGGATTCGGATGGATATCACCGCAGCAGAAGAGAAAAAGTAAAACTAAGAATGATAATCGGAAATTATATAAGCAAAGTAACCCAAAATATAGAGAAATGTGTATCATCTTCCCGAAGTGATTAGCATGTAGAATAGATTCAAAAACACCCACCACCAGCCTGTATTGAACAACATCAACCGGCATCGACAAAGCAAAGTGATCATGTAATTGTTACAATCGGGCTGGCGGTGAATCTGAGAAGGGATTCATACGTTATATACAACTTTAAACAAATATGATTATGAAAAACGAAAGGAAAGGTGCCTGGAGGAATATGAAAATGTGTAATGTTAAAGCACGAAGACACGATAAACTGTACCAATTACAATGTTCCCCGTTATGCATGCTTTACCTGGGTTACATACGGGTGATCTAAGTTAGAAATATATGACTGATATAAATTCTTTAACACACGTTAATATCGAATATGCTTGGATTATCTTTTTTTTTCAAATGTGCTCCATTCAAGAAAAGTTATATAGAATTATATATTTACTCTCCCCCATGTATTTTGCTCTTTTATGTAAAAGCTTTTTCACCTTACACATTTTAATTACAGATTCCTTTGTTTTGATTTTAATTCAAACAAACCAGGCTTTTGAAATGCTATACAAAAACTATGCTTAAAAGTTTACAGAGTTTGTTGTCTCTAATACAGTTTTTGTTGTCTGTATACATTTTTTTAATATAGCAGTATGAGTCTACATGTGAACACAATCGATGGTTGAAATGTTAATCTAAGAACAAAACATGAACTAATTCTCAAGAACTCTGATGTATAAAGTTACCTTCATCTTTGATTGACTGATGTATTTTCAATCTTTATTCAGCACTGAAGAGGCCACAGGCCTCTAGTACGAGTTTATGAATAATCAGCGTTGATTTTGACTCCATAAACTGTCATAAAGTATTCATAAAGTATCAGGGGTCATTTAAACTTGCAAAATGATTGACATACCCCTTTATAGAGCAAGGATTGGGCTGTTTTCCAACCCGATTGACTGATATTACAACATTCACATGGTTTAGAATGGTACAATGAATGGTAAAGCATGCAAATTACACTAATACGCGATATTTCATAAGTAAACATCATATCTCCGTTAAAACATAAAACCAATATTTATGAGTCTACATATTGATATAAGACTTTATCACTGTATCCAATTCCAAAATTTTAGATATAAACTTTCGGACAGTTCAGTTCAAAATTCTTCAACCTTTAATACATCACAGGATTTGTAGCTAGACGACGGGAATCTACAGTCTTGACTGTGTGTTTTCTTTGATGAGAATGTTTCTCCCCGACTTTACTTACTTACTTACTTACTTACTTTGGAGATTTAACGTGCGCTTTCCGACTGATGCGTATTTCGCACACGGGCCCGGTCAGGCCATTTAATGTGTTTCCGAAAAGGGCGAAAGTGGTGTGTGCAACACAAGAGGGGGCTTTAGGGGTTGCTTATATAGAATTTGGGAATTTTGAGATTTGGAATAGATGCCGATGGGGTAGGGGAGGAGAACTAAGGGAGCTGGGTATGGTGGATGTTTGTGTGTTTATGTAATTTTGATTTAGTGGATTATAGTGTTTTTAGATGCGTTTTATTAGTTCCGTTTTTATTAAGAATACGCCTAAGGCCTTGAAGTTTTCTAGTTTATTTTGTGGGTTTAGTATTGCTTCTAGAGGGGGAGCCTTGTTTAGATTGAGGGTGGTTTGTAATGCGGTTCGATGTGTCAGGTAGTGTGTGCAGTAGATGAGTGCGTGTTCTGGGGTTTCTAGTTGTTTGCAGTGTGGGCAGTTACCTGTAGTATGTTTTTTTATTTTTTTTAGGTGGTTATTTAGGTTGGTGTGTCCTGTTTGGAGTTTAGTGATTACTCTGTCGATTTTTTTTGATGGATGGTGAATTTTTGGTGTGGTTAGTGGTTTGCTGAGTACTTTTTTGATTTGGCTGTTTGAGTTTAGATATAGGTTATGCCATTTTTTGGTGTTTTTTGCTTATTTACACTTTTAATTTATGATTTTGAGATGGGTAAGTTTAAGCTTATTTCTGGGATTTTGAGGGATAGTTTAGCTGCTTTATCGGCGTTTTCATTACCGTATATTCCTACGTGGGCGGGTATCCACAAGAAGGTTATTTGTTTGCCTGCCTTAGTTAGGTCGTTGGAGCTTTTAAGTATTAGATTTATTAATTTAGGTCGGTTTTTGGTATTTTTGTTTTGGAGGGCTTGCAGTCCACTTCGGGAGTCGGTAAGTATTAGGATTTTATTGTGGTTTTTGAATTCTCGACTATGGAGGGCTGAGGCCATGCCCATTAGTTCTGCCGTGAATATTGATTGGTTGTTTGGGAGTCGGAAGGATTTTGTAGTTTTAGTTGGTTGTGTGGTATGGACTCCGAAACCTGTGTGTTTGGAGGTCGGATCTGAAGATCCGTCCGTGTAAATGTGACACCAATTTGGCCAATTTTCGTGTATGTATGCTAGTGTGGTGGTTTTAGCTATGTTTGGGTCGGTTTGTTTATTTATTTGGCTAGCTAGTGTTGTGTCTATTTTGGGTATTTTAAGTTTAGGGGTGAAGATATTTGATCGTTTGCAGTTTTGTTTAAGATTTTTAATTTGGTGTTCATTTAGGTAGTTTGTTATTCTTTGGGATATTGGGGTAAGTAAGGGGTGTTTACGAGCTAGAGCTTGGTTTTTGGGGCTGATATTTTGGTTTATTAAGTTTTGGATCAGAGGGTTTGATTGGGATGCGGCCCAGAAATTTAAGCTTAGCTATTCCCTGCGTAGACTTAGTGGCATTTCTCCTGTTAAGGCCTGAAGTGAAGTGTAGGAGGTGCCATGTTGGGTGCGTGTAATTAGTTTGAGAGCCTGATATTGTATTGAGTCAAGTTTTTTAGATAGAGAGTTGTTTAGGGTGTTGTATATGGCGCAGCCGTAGTCTAGTTTTGATCTAATTAGTGATATGTAGAGAGAGAGGAGGGTATCTTTGGAGGATCCCCAGTTTGAGCCAGTGAGGCAACTTAGGGTGTTTAGGTCTTTACTGCATTTAGTTGTTAGGTTTTGGATGTGAGCATCCCAGGTGAGATGTTCATCGAAAATAAGTCCTAAGAATTTGGTTTGTTTTTGAAATTTGATTGTTTGGTTGTTTAGCTGGAGGATTGGGGAGGCGGGTTTCACGTTTTTATGTTTGAATACTATTCCTGTTGTTTTTTCTGAGTTAAGGGAGAAGCCCCATTTGTCAGCCCATTGTTGTATTTTATTAAGAGATTTTTGGAGTAAATTTTGGGCCATATTAATGCTTTTTGTGTGGATCCAGAGGGCTCCATCATCCGCGAATTTGGATGTGTTTATTTTAGGGGATAGGCCCTCGAAGAGATCGTTTATCATTATATTAAAGAGTGTGGGGCTGAGGATACTGCCCTGGGGAGTGCCATTTTCTAGGGGACACTGGTCCGATAGAGTATGGTCTATCCCCACTGTTATTTTACGTTCGTTTAGAAAGTCCTGAATGTAGTTTATTATTTGTCCTTTTAGTCCTATTTTTTAAAGTTTTTGTATTAGCCCGTTGTGCCAAACCATGTCGAATGCTTTGGAGGAATCCAGAAAGATGCCTGTTGTGTATTGTTTGTTGAGTTGTCCTGTCTTGATGTCCTGTTCTAGTCGGGCGAGATTATCTAAGGTTGAGCGGCCAGGAGTGAAACCGCTTTGATCTGTGTTTATGATGTTATTTTGAGTTAAGTAGTGTTGTAGTCTATTTTTGGCAATAGATTCCATTACTTTACATAGGTTTGAGGTTAGGGATATTGGTCTATACGAATTTGCCTGGTTAGTTGGTTTATCGGGTTTAGGGATAGGGATGACTAGTGCCTGTTTCCAGGGAGTTGGTACCTGTCCGTTTTGATAGATTAGGTTATATAGTTTAAGTAGTGCCTGGAGTAGGTTGGGGGGGGGGGGGGGGGGGGGGGGGGAGTTTTTTGATTATTTGGTAGGATGTTAGGTCTAGTCCTGGGGCAGTTCCCTTTTTCCTATTTTGGAGTACTTACTGGAGTTCTTCCATTGAGTAAGGTTGGTTTATTTCGAGGTTATCATTATTTGGTTCTTTACTTTACATAAGTTTGAAGTTAGGGTCTTCAACAATGTAATAAACTGATAATTATAGCTACATACCGAGAGTTCATACCGAAAAGTCAGTGTCTTGACTGTGTCTTTACTTTGATGAGAAGGTTTCTCACCGACCTTAGCGTGCAGGGGTGTGATGTTCTGGGCAGGAATTCGAAATGACAGTGTTTTGACTACTCTTCTTTCATTAATTAACGTGTTTGGTATACCTAATTAACCTTTACTAATTCATGTTAAACCAACACAGGATGTTTTCTGCAATGGATATTCGCGAATGTCATAGGACTGACACGACACGTGTTAATAACTGCCAAAGCGCTTCTAAAATTACAACGCATACTTTACATCTATAGACTAATTATAATATCATATCTACCTATATAACACTTTAGTGTCTCATATTGCAGTAGCAAACACGGTGCTTAAAAGTGAAGACCTTTTCCCGCTACAATCTCTCTATCAGAAGTGTTTGTCTTGTGTTGGGTCCGACTTGGCCCGGGCGGTCAAAATCAACTTTAAACACACAGACGTATCTTCCAATGTGTTTACATCTATAGATTAGTGTTATATCTACCTATATACCACTTTATAATGTCACGGTACATCGTATTTAAAGAAAACAAGGGGCTCAAAGTAAAGCCCTTTTCCCTTTACATTCTCAACATAGTCTCTATCAGAAGTGTTTGGCTTGTGTTGGGTCCGACTTGGCCCGGGAGGTCAAAATCAACTTAACACACAGATCTAACTTCAAATGTGTTTACATCCATAGATTAGTGTTATATCTACCTATGTACCACTTTATAATGTCACAGTTTATCGCATTTAAAGAAAACCATGAGTTCAAAGTAAAGCCCTTTTCCCTTTACATTCTCAACATAGTCTCTATCAGAAGTGTTTGGCTTGTGTTGGGTCCGACTTGGCCCGGGAGGTCAAAATCAACTTAACACACAGATCTAACTTCAAATGTGTTTACATCCATAGATTAGTGTTATATCTACCTATGTACCACTTTATAATGTCACAGTTTATCGCATTTAAAGAAAACCATGAGTTCAAAGTGAAGCCCTTTTCCCTCTACATTCTCAACATGACTAGTATTATATCTACCTATATAACACTTAATAATGTTGCACGATAACTCAAAGAAAACTGGTCTGTTAAAGTCGAACACTTTCACTGTATCTTCTCAAGAAAATTTCACCAAATGTGTTGGAGTGAAGTATAGTCTTTAAAGCGAAGCCCTTTTTTCATGGTATGTGTCTGGTCGGAAAATCCCTTGCTTTTACCTAATCCGTCGTGGGTATTTTCAAGGATCATACTCACAGGGTAACACTTGGAGAAGGTAAGGTGAGACTTTGCATTTCAGGATAAACCTCTCCCTCAACCCTGCTTAATGCTTCTTTTATCTATGAGTGTGTTTAGGAAAACAGGATTATCTGAGACAGTTGTAATCTGCCATACCGCGAGAATACGTGCTGCATCTCCGAGCAGCTCGTTCTGTGAAAACACACTTCTCCTGAACCTGACTTGGACCACTCAGTATTATTGTCGTGATGGTTAATAGACGCCATAAATTAAAGTTCTCTATATATCTAGCAACTTTTTTTTTTATCTTGGAAACATCTACCATAAAACTTTTCAAAATTTTCAAACAGCCATCAGGGCACTTAAATGAAACCCCACCTTCCATCTTCCAAATTATCCCCGGAACACCTAACATCCAGACTCAAACCCCCCTCCATTCTAAAACCAGATAATGGTGTTCATTCAGTGGAATTGTAATGGCATCGCCTCAAACGGGCATGAGCTTAAGGCCCTCATCGCCCTTGGAAAAATTTCTCCATTATTAATCGCAGTACAGGAAACCAAAATATCCCCCCAAAAAGCCTTCAAAATTCCAGGCTATCTTTTCATTCGACCCCGCCCCACTAACAACCCCGGACCGCCACATGGAGGCCTGTGCATATTTATCAAAGACCATCTCAACTATGAAACAATAGATATCGCAACTCCAAACCTTGAATGCCTGGCTATCAAAACCACCATCAATCAAACTAAAATCAGTATTATAAATGTTTACCATACTAGAACAAAACCATTCACAGGTGAAGACCTAGATGTATTAACTAAATATATTGATCAAAACACTATTTTTCTAGGCGATTTCAATGCCCACCATCCACTGTGGGGCACAAAAAACTTCACAGACAAATTCGGAAAACTCATCTACGAATGAACAGAAACAAACAACCTTTATTGCTTAAATGACAACCAACCCACCTCCAATCCCCTACAGCAGTAGATCTAACTATCAGCACCCCCCATCTCCAATCAAAACTATGCTTGGAGGTACATTCGGACACCTTGGGCAGTGACCACATGCCCATCAAAATTTCTATCTCCCTTCCCACT